CCGACGACAACAAACTCACCTTCCCTTTACTGTCTCACAATCGATAATGATACACGTGTATACACGCCTTATTAAACTGCTTATTAACTAGTAATTATTAAAGAAATTAATAAATAAAATAATTTCGTTTAAAAGAAAATCTGAAACAAATATTCTTTGCCGAAAGAAAGTCTAATTGTGCTCGTATTTGTAATGTCATTTCGTGGAAAAACTTATTGATTGCCGCTAGTTAAGTTGTTGTGATCTGATTCTGAAACCAAGAATCATAACAGTTCAAAGAATATCTTCACAATATATTTAAGAAGACAATAAAACAGAAATATCCCAAATAAATATTAATTAAAGCTACGAATCAAACGTCGACAATAGTTTTAGTAACACCTGTCGACGTCAAATGTCGATAATTTGTAGCTTTCAGATCTGTTACTATATATATCGTAACATTGTATATACCATAATACCAAATTTACAATTTTCTGAGTCACCTATCAGTAATGAATGAGTGAGTAGGTATGTAATGGCACATTACATACCTAATTAAAATAACTCAAGAACCAGTTTGAGATTCTAGAATCTATAATATATCTAGGTAGGAATACCTGGATATCCTGGAGGTTCTCAATAGTATTGCAAAATTGTATGTCTGAGAAAGAGGAAGAAAAATATTTCGAAGACATCTGAAGTTCGCCAACATGCATAGGGCCAGCGCGACGGACATTTGCTTGCCCTACTCACCCTCTCAGAAATGAGAAGAGGCCTGTGCCCAGCAGTGGGACCTATATAGGATGTAACTTTACTTTATTGAACTCGTGATCGTAAGTACGACTATTGATCTCAGGGTCTCTGATTCGAATCCCAAGTCGGGCTAAAATCTGTAGTAGAGTTTTTCTGTCGAGAAGTTTTCAGTAGCAGCCAGAAGTCAAGAAGTTGGCGGTGTTTAACCATCGTGCCTCAGAAAGCACTTAAAGCCATTGTTCATCTGCCTGATCTACGGTCATGTCGGACTGTCGTCCCAATGAACTATGAGGATACTACTTACTAGAAAATGCACTATGATCCTGTCCTTTGCAGATGACTAGTCTCCATTGAAACTGACCGAAATTAGGTCTGGAGATCATTATTTTTATTACCTTAGTAATTACAGTCAATGGATTTAACTTCTTATAACAGGATAATCATGGCACAGACAATAAAAACATAGGGCCAAATAACTTTCAATAAAAATAATTAAGAGCCGTGGTAGCTCAGATGGTTAACGCTCGCTCTAAATATCACAGAACGCGAGTAACGCGGGTTCGATCCCCGCCGGCACCAATGAAATTGTTAATTGCAATTTTAAGTGCTGATTTACCACGTGCTCGGCGGTGAAGGAAAACATCGTGAGGAAACCTGCATGTTTGAGAAATAAGAAAAAAAATTATTTCGAAGACATTTGAAGTTCGCCAACACGCATTAGGGCAACGCGGCGGACACTTCCTTGCCCTAAAACCCTCTCAGAAATGAGGGGAGACCTGTGCCCAGCAGTGGGACGTATATAGGCTGTAACTTTACTTTTTTACTTAAAAATTATTATTTGCCTATAACCGTGGATGTTCCTATATTGAAGTGCCTATAAGTAGTGATAAGATAAAAACTAAATATTTTTTTATCAAAATAAAAGCCGTTAATATATCGAAAGCATAAATTGTGTGAACATTCAAATCGATTATCATAAAGTGTCAGACGTGCGTAGTGAGATTTTGTTGTGTGAATCTGTGCGTAAAAATTGTAATGAACGAGATACGTAAAGATATTCGATTAGAGGTATGGCTTAATTCTCTTTTCAAACAGTTTGTCACTGCAGATGATGTTGACAATGTTTTCTTGGCTGATAACAACAAAATAGAATAGAATATTTTTATTCAATATAGATAACAAGTAATAATTCATTCAATGAATAGAATCAGGCGTCACTTTACGGAAATCCATTATAATCTATACATATAATAAAATTGTAGAAAAGTTGTGTCTGTACAATGGAAATATATAAAAAAGTAGCAGGGGTTGTTATTAAATCGATGCCGAACCCGAAATTGTAATTTAATTTTTTTTGTCTGTTTGTCGGGTTTTCTGTTTGTCTGTGTGTTTGTGCACGCTAATATCAGAAACGGCTTATTATATTTAGAGACAGTTTCCACTAGTACATTGTAGTAAGCTTCACTTAACATTTAGTGTTTATTTCATGTCAATCGGTTCATAAATTAAAAAGTTATGTCAATTTAAAGAATCACGGCGAACATTTGTTAAGGTATTCTATCAGTGTAGTGCATATTTGCCATAAGTTGACACACTTAGCAGGCGGGTTGATAATCGGAGTTTTTTATTTTCTAGTAGTTATTAATAAACAAGACGCTGCTGCCCAACCACTGATTTATTTCCCTATGTCGTCTTTTACTTACGACACACACAGGACGATAAGGGGTAGTGTCGGATAGTATTCTCACGTCAGTACAACTAATACATTATTATCGAAAGTCATCCATGCTTTTATCACTGGCTGGGAAAAGGATCCTCTGTCCTGGGAAAACATAGGAAGGACTTTTTTAGAAAGCCTCACAGCCTGTAATTTCACACAGCAGTGCGCGCACTTCTGATTGGCGTCAGAAAAAGGTAAGAGGGCTGACTACTCCTAAATAGGCAAGGAGTCTTTCATCCAGCAAATAGTATGCTTTACTGCAACACATTGAGAATATTCGAAAGTTCTCAAACTTATTACATTGCCTTAGATGTGCGTTAAAAATTCCCCCAGACCTAGTAGAAACAATTTGCTAATCTTTGACCTCAAAATCACTGAAAAGGAACCAAGGTTCGGGGGTCCTCTTGATCCGGCCGCGAAGGACCAATTGAAAAGGACCAACGGGAATTAAACGTTCGATTAAGAAACAGAAGGGAGGAATCGAGGCTTCTCTCGATCCGGCCTCCTATAACGCCTACGTTGGGTTCGGGAACAACGTATGTGATCTCCGCAACGGAGTAACACACAAGGGCGATAACCTCTTCCTTTTCAGCGAGTAGGTTCAGACGGGGATTACGGGTCTTCCGAAGTCGTTCCGGTCCCATCGCCTTAATTCTTCGATGTGGACTGTATAATCTTGAGGGATGAATTACTTGGGAATAAAACAGCAATTATCTTCAAACCGTTCCGTGAGAGAGTAATCACTTTTTCCCTATCACTTCCCTATACTCTTCTTATTGACTGCTGGTTTTTCACTTTTCTCGAACTTTTTTCCCGAACGAATTGCAATAAAACTCATTTACTAAGCTACCCCAGAGCTATACGCGAAAGTGAGCCGCGCCATTCGCGCGCTTGCGCAACTCAATTACATGAATTTGTTCTATTACTTTCTCACGTTTTACTTAATTACTTTATTTGCATAAGTCATACATCAACATAATTTACCTGTATAGATAGCACAAAACAATATCTACACTACGATATACATTACATTTTTATATCACGAAAAACCTATTATTTATTTAACAAAATATGCCTATTTTACTCACAAGTTCAAAGTCGAAATTTCTTAAATATTTAACATAGAAAGTTAAAACAATGTTTTCCACTTGAAATTATACATAAGTCAACCAATACAATAGTTTAATTTACATTTTCTCAATTTATTTCACTATTAAAACACTTTTAAATTTCTTATACAAAACTATCATTATTTTACTTATACACAGGAATTTTCACATAAAAATAACACAGAATTCACCTTTTTTAGCACGTACAATCAACCTGAAATATTTTACAAGTCATTTTTACATAAATTGCTGAAATTACAAATATTTAAATTTTTACATATTTGGCCTCCTAAGTACGTGGCTAGCGTGCGTCTATGAACTCACACTATTTGAACAACTAACTTTTGCACGGCTCTCGGCTATCAGAAAAAATGAAAGTCTGATATACACCAATTTTAACAATATTGGGTGAATAAATGCTTCTACACAATTTTCAAACTGTAGGAAACTATTTCTAATCAGATTCTTATCAGTTATCATGTTTCTTATCAGATAACAATATAAGTGAATGTTCTCATAAATCAATCATGGCAAATAGGTATTTGTTTTCGTACAAAACTTATCAAACTTATATAAGACAATACTTATGCGATTAATTTCCGTTAATTCTATTTATGCACAGAGTGATCATCTCGACCGGGGAACAAATCCGATCTCTAACTTCACTTTAATATTCCTTTGAATTTACATCATTGGAAAGATGATTTCAACCGGGGAAACAATCCGGTAACATAATTTATATCTTAAATTCCTTACGAATTTATTAAGCGATATTACTTAGGAAAACAAATAAACTAGTCCGGCCTGGGAGTCGAACCCAAGACCTTCATATCATTAATTCGATATTTCTTTAAGATTTAACTAAGCATTTTCTTATCAGAACATTGCTATTGGACAATTTGCCTTTTAGAAGCTATTCGTCATCGGTTGACTTAATAAATCGAAATATTCTTATAGGCGCGTCGCCAACAATCACACAGTCGAGAACAATTTTATATACTATTTATTTGCAACTTTGACTGCCTCGTTGGTCTAGTGGTTGCAGTAGTGCAACTGCTGATCACGAGGACCTGGGTTCGAATCCCGGGTCGGGCCAAAAAATTTATTATTAAGTTTATCCGTCAAGAAATTCTCAGTAGCTGCCCGGAGTCAGAGAAAGTTGGCGGTGTCTCACCCCCGTGCCTCGGAAAACACGTAAAGCCGTCGGTCCTGCGCCTGATCTCTCTCCGGTCGTGTCAGTTTACCGTCCCATCGGAGAGTGATGGAATAGAAAGTGCGCCTGAGCTTGCGCTTGTATGTGTACTTGCAAGTGTATGACTTGGGCTCTATAATGCTGTCCTGCGCCGATGGATAGTCACCGTTGAGGCAGGCCGCCGTGACCGAAAGTCGGTCTGGAGGACATGACTATATTTGCAACATATCTGTTTTTACAGGACATGAAAGAAGATAAAAGAACGAAGGAAACCGGTGACAGTGACGCATTGGAGTCGGTTTTATCGCACGTGGGCGAGTTAGGCTGCTATCAGAAGCTAATGTTAGTTTTGATGTTGCCATGCGGCGTGTTCTTCGCGTTTGTGTACTTCAGCCAGATGTTCATCATGGCAACACCGCAGCGGCACTGGTGTCGGGTGCCAGAACTGGAGCATTTGAGTATGGAAATCAGGTCAGGATCAAGTTCTACTATCAATGGAGTCAAAATCCTCGCCTTTTAAATTCGACTCTTTATTTTTAAATAACTTTTTTATCGTTGGGAAATCCTCCTAGATACCTTCGGCTGCGGGGGCAACAGAAAGGTTATGCTGAACTCCCACCGGCTACAACTCCGCGGTTGTTATCATCAGCGTATATGAGGGTCCCAGAATCTCCGTTCGGAACACAACTGGGGCAACTCTCTCGCTTGCTTTATTACAGCACGTCCCAAGGGCAGTCCTTACTGCCCTAGCGCAGTGGTATCACGGTGCTCGAGGTCTCTTCCGATTCACCGTCCTCATAAGGGGTTAAATTTCTAGATGTTCGGAGCCCGCATCCCAAGCACCCGTAACCCCAGAGGTCCCGTTTCTGGTAAGGAAACACCATCATCAATCTCCGAGCGGGATACGTCTCTTACCGACACCGCTCAGTAGTTTTCTTCTAGACCACAACTGATTCACAAAAGGCGGTTACGACCCTTCACGCCGAGTCCCTGCTCAGCATCAATGATAAAGAATTTGAAAAAACTGGATGATAGTGACTCCATGGACACAAAACCATTGGACAAAGAATAGCCGCATTTGCTCGAAGCAATTCTCTAAACATTGTTTTGTTAACGAAGGGAAATGGCGAAGGCTGAAATCAAATGCAATTCTTACTTTATACATTATAAAAAACACAGCTATTACGTTTAATTTTATTCTTATCTACGGATCATTTATTATAATTATGTCAAACTAGCATACAGTCAATGAGATACCAACATGTAAATTTTATTATTAATAATAATATCATTACATACGTCTCACTCTACTGAAAATCAAATCTCTCCAGCAAAGATCATGGTGGCTTAAAAAGAAAGTCATAGCTTTAAATGATAGATTGCAAGAGATCCTAAACAAAGAATATTTAGGAAACGATATTTATTATATATATATATATATATATACAAAATAAGTATTTTTATCTATATATAATATATATATATATATATATATATATATATATATATATATATATATATATATATAGATATATATAGATAAAAATACTTATTTTTTACGCTGTAAAAATAATAAAATTATACAAAGTTATTTATTTAAACAGCAGAGAAACACGGTGCGGTCATAATTACTACGAAATTAAATTTGCCGTTACATTACATTTTTATCTCCACGCGCGTATAATTTTATACGAGAGGAATTACGAAATATTATCCCTCATCCTAAAACAATTAGCAAATGGTAACAAGGAGTCAACTGCCGACCAAGAATTACGACTGAGGCATTAAATGCAATAAAACTACGTGTAAATACTGTGTAAATACTGACAATCAGTAGCTCTAAAGTAGCAGCCTACATAATCCATATCAGGCGGCACTAAATTTCGGGAATCAAGGAAGTGACACAACATTACTATTTAAAAATGTATTTATTGCTTTTCGAAGTATTTTCCGCGAAATTCGACACATTTTTCCATTCCATCCTTCCATTCCGAAGTTGCGGTCTCCAAAATGGCCGTTTTGTAGGCGTCCACAGCTTCTTCAGATGATGAAAATCTCTGTCCACGCAATTTATTCTTTACTTTAGGGAAAGTATAGAAATCATTAGGGCTTAGGTCGGGGCTGTACGGCGGATGGTCTAATAATTCTATGTTTTCTTGCTCTAAAACTCTTTTGTTCTGTGTGCGGTGTGAGAACTCGCATTGTCGTGATGGAGGATGATGCGGCGGTTGCAGTTCTCTTTACGGAGTTCAGAAACGAACTGTGCAAACAAATGCTAGCATACCATTCTGCATTAACCGTTCTTTGTCCCACAAGGGGAATAGTCGTAACATGGCGGATTTTGGAGACAAACGTGGCCACCATTTTTTTTTGCAACACTCCGTAAACGAACAGTTTTTGTTGGCTTTAACTCTTTTTCTCGTTTCTGGTTTACTCTATTAACTCGTGACTGATTTTTTGTTTCGGGTTCATACGCGTGTATCCAGGATTCGTCACCTGATACGATGTTGTATACAGCATTTGAGGATCCTGCGTGGAATCTTTCGAGAGTTCTGACGCACCAAGTACCACGAGCCGCTTTTTGCTCTTCACGAGCGAATGCGGTATCTATCGGGAAAACAACTTTTTACACCTAATTGTTCATGCAAGATCATTTGTATTTGACTCATGCCAATGTCTAAAGTTGCCGGAATTTCGCGGTATGTCACATGTCGATCTTCCTCAATCAGCTTACGCACAGCATCAACGTTTTCTTGGGTGATTGCAGGTTTTGGACGACCTTGACGGGGATCATCACTGAGCTTGACCACGTCCACGTTGAAATTCACCAAACCAGCGATAAATTGTGTTTTTGGATGGGGCTTCATCACCAAATGCAGAAATTATCCGGTCAATACACTGTTTTTGTGTTAAAGCACTTCGAAAGTCATAATAAATCATCGCTCTTGAATTTTCTCGAGTCAATTCCATTTTCTCTGGTATTCGATTTTTAAAAACAAGGAGTTTTCAATTAAAAAGATTATAATATGACAGGAACAGTGGAAATATTCCATTCCCGATACTTTTAGTGCAGCCTAGTAAAAATAGTTGATTGAGTTGACTCCAACGCGGTATGAACGACTTAACATATAACTAAAAATAAATTCTGAAATATTTTCTTGACTTCTCAGATACATGCAGATTTCCTTGCGATGTTTTCCTTCACTACCGAAAACGTGGTAAATCGACGCTTCAAATTGCAATTAAAATATGTGTGGTTTCGGTGCGGATCGAATTTGGGTTGCTTAGAAATGAACCTTTGGATCGATTCGAATATCGGCTTTGATAGATATATTTCAAGATTCTATCAGTGCAGTTTCGTTCATATTTAAAATTAAAATAAAAGTATGTTTTAAAATTTTTGTTTTTGATATTTACAGTACACTTTTTTGCAAGAGCCTGTTCATTTAATCATGTAGTTATGAAACCGGGACAGTCACAACAATCTTAATATGCGTTAAAATATGAAAGCCATCTTTATATATGTCAAACTCTTTTACAAGTCTCATTAAAAGTAAAAAGTGAAAAAGCAAATTACATGGGTACGTCTTATAACGATGCACAGGGCTCTATAATCTACCAATTCCGCTCTTTAGCACTATGGGTACATAAAAGAGCGGTTTTCACATGTCCACGATTTTCTTTTAAATCTACTCAGACATTAATGTTTGCCAGCAAAGTTATTATCCACCTCTTCACTGATCACGTAGAAAATAAGCAAATAAAATTACTTTGCCAGTTTCATTGGAAATCGTGGGAATCGTGCGCTTTTTGTTACTATGCTTTGCAATCTTGCGGCGAGCTACACGGCTCTCGTATTTGTTTAAAAAAGTTAATAAAACTGAAAAAAATCTTTTGCATGATTGTGGACCACATCTGTAGAAATAAGCCAGAATTACCGGTATCGTAATTTAAACAATCTATCCATCCATTACAGCCTATAAATAATAGTTGCGCCATAGATGACAACACGCTTGGCGTATCAGTACTCACTGATTACTTAGGATAAGCCCCACGTACCGCAACATTAGACATACGAGTACGTCAATCGCATAAGCCACTCTGTGCATCCCAGCTAAGTAAAGTTACTTATTGTTACAGGCGAAATCTATCAATACCAAAAATTGGAGATGGGTGGCATCAGTGCGTTATGTACAACGCCAACTGGACAAGCGTTTTGGAATCAATGGTTTCGCCCGATCCCACCACAGACACTGTACCATGTCGAGATGGCTGGGAGTTCGAACTGGGTGATATCCCGTACCATACAGTTGTAAGCGAGGTAAGAACTTTTGATGAAATATTGATATCCGATTTCTATATTATAAAAATGCTTCGTTCTCTGTGACGATCTGTTTTATTACATATGGGGTGCAAGTAAAGCTTGATATTACAAGCTGTTCAACAACTTACTTACTTATTGACATATAATAAAAACTTTCAACGGTTTATAGAGAGAGAAACAGAAACAGAAACTTTTTTATTCAATATAGATTATAAATAATACTTATTGAAAGTTACTTTTTTTAATTTACCACTGGTTCGGAAAAAAATCTCTGTCCTGGGAAGAACCAGCAAGAAACCCAGCGGGACTGCTTTGTTTAAATAACAGCTTACAATCATGTATGCTACAATTAACAATACAAAACAAATTAGAAATAGCTTGGTAGCGATCACCCGTCCCAGGGGTAATTATCCATAAATTCCTTAATATATAATAACCTTTTTTATACAAACTTAGTTTAATAAAGTTTTTGAACTTTGTGTAGGGCAAGTTTTGAGTATATGTGTATATTTTCTGGGATTTTGTTGTAAAAGTTTTGTTGAGTCAGTAATTCATTCTTGGGGCGATATATACGAGTATCTACATATCCCCCCATGAATCAATTACTGACTCGGTGGAGTCGAGTAACTGGTACTACTAGCTTGTGTCTGTTCCTAGTATTTTTACAGAATCATTGTCACTTATTTTTGTAAAACTACTTTTATTTTTGTGTACGTACATTATATTTTCATAAATGTATTGAGAGGCCAAAGTTAATATATAAATTTCCTTAAATTTTTGTCTGAGCAACTCTACAGATTTTAAATAATAGGCCCTCTTCTATAAAACAAATATAATTGCAGTGTCAGTCGCGCGGCTTCAAAGTAAAATACCATATGACATTATGCTATAGAAACAGCTAAAGTAAACTAGTTTAGCTGTTTCAAAACTGGGAAGAGTTCTAATGTCTTTTACAGCATATGCTGCAGAACTAAGTCTGCTAGCTAGTTTTGATATATGGGGACCCGTTGAAGTTTTGCGTCTAGTGGGATTCGAAGAAAAATGGTGATATCAACAAGACTCAGCTCCTTCCCATTTAAAATTACATTAGTGTTAACATGTTTGATATTCGGAGTTACGAATTTCATACATTTAGTTTTAGTTCCATTTAAATTCAAATTATTAACATTAAACCAATTTACTAACTTAGTTATAAT